CTTCCAAGGAAGAAAGCAGCAAAGGAAAGTGGGGAGGCCGAATGAAGATCCCTGCAGCCTCCAGGGATGAACTGAGAGGAGGACTGACTGGCACAGGCGGACTTCAGAAGCCAGCCCAGCCCGTCTCCCCGCTGTCCTCAGAAACACGGCCCATCTGATTGGTTCAGACCTTGGCACCACAATGAACAGGTTTTGCTTTTGGTTCGCAGGTGAGCTTGCTGGCTGCGTCTGACATGGCCGGGGGCCTCTTTTCTGACTGCGGGAGTGTCTGTGGATCTCGTACACATGGCACAGGACAGACCAGGCCTGGCACACACCTGGGGCTTCTGAGGCCTTCATGATCAGACCTTCTATTCGTCAGGTTACCTCCCTATCTCGGGACTGCAATCATGGCGATTTGGTCGCATGATGAAGCTCTCAGAAGACTTTCAAGTAGGGAAGAGCAACCCACGAGAAGGAATTAATTAGCTCCTCAAGGAGCCCTGAGGCTGCCATGCTGGGGAGGCGGGCCGCTGTGAGGCCTGTCTTTGCTGCCGCACAGGCGATCCTCTTGGGCCAAGTGGAGCCTCCACTTGGAATCCTACCACATCACTGACAGAGCACTCCGGCTGCGGGGCCGAGGACAAGCAGAAGGGAAACTGAAATTTATCAACTTGCTGCTGTCAGGACAGACGCTGAATAAATCAGTCCGGAAAGTAAGATTCAAAACTAACTGGGAAAGTTACTGTGGGTTATTGCTATTATAATGGGATAAATCAAAGTCGGTTATACCTTTAATTTTTAACAATTGAAACAGACATGCCAGAGCCTTCTTGTGATAAGAAACCTTTTAGTTACACATTAGCTTTTCTATGGAGTTTAAATAATTATTCAATTTCTAGGCTGATTTGGCAAAAAAAAAAAAAAAAGTGAATAATCTAGAGAATTTTAACGTCTAACACAGAGAATAGGTGCTTTGCTTAAATATTACCCTGGTTTTAACCAGAACTCTCTGGAAATTACTTTCAAGGTAATCCACGTGAATTTTACTTTATTATTTAAAAAAAATTTTTTTTTTGATTTCAGAGAGGAAGGGAGAGGGAGACATAGAAACGTCAACGATGAGAGAGAATCATTGATCCGCTGCCTCCGGCAGGAACAGGTATAGAGCTCGCAACCCAGGCATGTACCCTGACTGTGAATCGAACTGTGACCTCCTGGTTTGTAGGTAGACACTAACCACTGAACAACGCCGGCCCGGCAGGCTCTTCGCTTTTCTAACCATGTCTTCAGTGTCACAGGTCTACTGGTTATATTGTTATGAAGTCAGGGACATCCCCTGCTATAATGGGACGACAGGGATGGGCACAGTGACCTCACTATATATGACAATTTCTTTCCTGGGCTGACAATGTGATGATCTTTCAACCTGTTGTGGGCCAGAGGTGACCATTCCTAAACCATTCCTTAAGCATATCGCCAAGGCCTCGTCTGACAGCAGACGGCCCGGGGCCTCTGCACCACTGTGGGGCTCCCACCGCTCTCGTGAGGAGAGCTTCTTTCAAAGACCGGGCTCTGTGCTTGCCTTTGTGTGGGGTGTGCCCAGCAGAGCTGCAAAGAGAAGCTTTCTGCCCTCTGGTTCTTTGGGGCTTGGACTAAGCCCGCTCACTTTCTTTTCAATGGGAGGAGCTGACCTGCCTCAAAAAAACCTCTCTCTGAGCTGTCACCTAGGGCTTGGTAAGGGGTTCTAAACATTCCCAGGTCTCCTTCGCTTCCTCAGATCTTAGTGCTCACCCAGAGTAACACGCAGTCTTCTAGGCTGGGCTGGTGGCTTCTCTTCTTATGTCTTGTCAGTTACCCCAAAAGGTGAGGCTGATGAAGGATTAATAATGTACATGACGCCCCACCCCAGTATTGCAACATTCCATGGAACAAATGAAGATGGAAACAAAGCAGGCAAAAAGCAGACAGGACACACAAAAGCAGGAACTTACACCCAACTATCTTCATCTCTGCACCAGAAAGAAAGGGGCGAGAATGAGGGGACAGCACAGAGAGAAACAAGAACAATTAAGACAAACAGGAAAAGAGAATAAACATCACTTGCAGGTCGCGATGAAGCAGGCACTTTCACCAGGGGTCAAAGCACAGGCAGGGTTCCTGAGCTCCGGGAGGAACCACAGGCCCCCAGAGGCTCAGCATGCCCGCAGCGCTGCCTTGTAAGGGCAAGTTCAGGGTGGCCCAGAGGAGCAGTACGGTGCCAGGTCTGACTCGGGAGGGCAAGCATCCCTCAAGCAGCATCGCCACCCCCTGAGTGCTTGTGAGGAATGCCAACTGCCGGGCCCACCCCAAATCCTCCAGTAGCAGAAACTCTCGGGGTGGGCCAGGCACTCTGTTTCCAAGCCCACAGGCGGCTCTGATGCACACTAAGTGAGAGAACTACGCTTTAGGGAGAGCGCAGTCCTCAGGACACAGTAAAAGGGCAGATTTCTTCTGACAAGACAGAAAACCGTTTAACTAATAAAAAGCACAGACCATATCGCTCACAGTAAATAGCCTTAAAAATTCAAGGTTGTGAAAACGCTGTCATCTGCACAGAGCCCGGAGGACTTGGAGTGGCCGCAGGGAAGCTAAGCAGCAGAGGCTGGAGGAGCGGCGCCCGGGCCGGGCTCAGGCGCGGTCTGGAGAAGGCACAGCCTTTTCTCGAGCAGGGGTTTCAAAGCGTCCCTTTCTGTTTACTGTCTTGGCCGACAGCTCTCTTTAAGCTTTCTGAGGGCTAATCTGACAAGTGCGTTCCTGGGAACCGTGCTAACTTCAGCCTGTTCACCTGGAACACCTGTCCTGTTCCCATCTTTCTTGCCCATCTTCTTGGAAAAGATCTAGGAAAAGAGCAAAAGTGCCGCAGACGTATTCGCTTTTGTGCTGAACTGAGTGAGTTTGGAGGGAAGGAGGAACTGCCACAGAAATCTGACACAAACTACAGGCTGTAAGTGCCCAGTTTCAAAAATTGGCTTAACCGCCCATATCTATTTGTTCTATAATCTAGAAGTCAGGGCCTCGGCTATGGCACACAGTAGGACATCTCCTGCTCACAGCAGTCACGTGGTGCATGTACACACCGTGAAAAGAATGGGAGACCATCAGAAAGACCTTTTTGGAAATGGTGCGCGCCGCTCGTGTGGCTAGAGCCTGTCGGGCTCCCACTGCAGCTGCTGCTCTGTGACTTGGAGCTGCGAGCTGTCAATACGCTTTGACAAGGACGCACCAGTCGACCCTGAGAAAAGCTCTCCAAATGAGCGCTGCCCACTGCTGGCATCTTAAAGTAAGGGTCACAGGTTAGGAGTAATTCTGGTTTTTTATGTTTACTCTAATTGCTCAGCCGTAAGTGTTGCAATGTTCACAGTTACTGACAATTTATTTCTTTGCTCATTTCCCATACATCATGTGTCAAGAAGAAGCTGAAACTTCGTGTAACTTGGTCACTGTGAGGGCTGCGAGGCCGCTGCAGCCCCGGTGCGATGTTCCTCGGGAAAAGGACAGACCCGCAGAAGGGGGGCAAGTAGCCAGGCTTGGAGGTCTCACCGCAGGGTGTGTTAGCACAGTCACGGTTTCCCAAGACGGGCTGCCTGCAACGTGACACACCCAGCACCTTTCCTGCTGCTGCAGCAGGGCCTGCAGGCCAACCTGCCACCTGCCCAGGGACGCAAACCCACTCTGGTGTCTCGGGGTGCGTAAGGGGCTGGCAGTTGTTAGCTCACAACCCTGGGCGTGGTCATCTGTTCAAAAGCTCTCCCCTCAGGGGAGGAAGGGTAGAGGAGGAGGACTGCTTTCTGCCTGTGAACCGCTTCCTGTCAGCCTCAGCACCCAGCAGGCTGACTCACAGCCCAACCTGGACCTTCAGGATGGCCAGTGCCGGGGCTGTGGTCGCTCAGCTGCCCGGGGCGGGAAAGCTCCTGAACCTCAGCCTGTCTCACCGCCGGCGGCTGCGGCCGATTTCCACAGCGACGTCTAGATACCCGCAGCCCTTTCCACACCCGTGTGCCGGGATGCAGAGGCAGAGCGCTCCACCGGGACCTCTTTCCACACGAGGTTTGGACAATGTCACTTTGGAAAGCAAAGTCTGCTTCACAACATTTCACTGCCGCTTGTTCCTTTCTAGGGTCTGCTCACCGGGTTTTAAAGTGTGAAGACTAACAGGAAGGAAATGTCCAGATCTTAGACGTTAAAGGAAGGGAGGGCTTTAAACACATCTCTCAGAATAGACGACTCCACCTCCGAAGCCTGGAAATCTCACTTAAAAAGATCTGGGTAACCACCAGCTTTCTCCCATGACACGTTGCCAAGAAGCCAGGGACTACCCCGGGCTCTTTTCCCGCTAACAGGGCCATAGAGGCTGAGAAGTGGTCCCAGACAGGATAGGAGAAACATCCCGCGAAGGCCTCACATCTCCAGCAGCCCCCCTAAGTCGTTCTGAGCACCAAGCCTCCTTAGCATTTAAAGGTAAAGGTGGATTGGCTGAGCGGCCCAGGTTTCCCATCCGAGGACCCTCCTCACGGGCATGAGCAGAGATGAAGCTCTCCCTGCAGCTCGCTCTGCATGCACAGGGTCTGTGGAGCGGCATCAAAGGAGCAGAAAACAAGTCTGGGCCTAGTGTGGGAGGTGGGAGGTGGGAGGCAGCTGGGACCCGGCACATGGGCCTTCTCTGTGCGCAGGCCACACCCCGCTTGGGGCTGTGCTGGCAAACATTTACATCAGGAGAACTCGGGTTGCCACGAAGAGTTCCAGACGGGATGTTTACAACTGAGTGCCCACAGGCAGTTCAGTCTAGCCTGGCCTGGCCTCTACACGAAAGCAAACGAGCTTGTAGCAGATCATTCACACTCAGTGGGAAGGGCAGGTTCCTAACTCCTGTCATCTGTCCAGATAACCAGCAATTTGTCTGTTCTGATTTTCCTCGCTTTGCTCGCATCTGCTCTGGTTCTCAGACCGCCTGCCATCGCCGAGACCCCTCTACCTTCCCTCACTGCTGCAGCCCCGCTGGCTCCGATGGCCTGGCTGACCCATTTCCCAGCTGTTCCCGCATCTGCCTGACTAGGAAATATGAACCTGGGGTTGACCTGCTGGACCCGCACTGGAGGTCAGTGGGCCCCCACTTTCTGCCTTGGCTCTCCTCTGGGCCCTCGATGAGGGGTGGGGGGTGGGATATTCCTGAGAAACTGGCCAGGTCGCACAATCCAATCCACAAAACCGGACTGAGACCATCTGTCTTATCCACTTTCTAAAACGTTAAAATGCACCTGCTATTCCCACACGAAGTCGGACCCAGCAATGCTACAGGCACACATTTGGGTTATTCCTCCCCTTAAAGAGGAAGTGCTTGTGAGCCACTCCCTCCGAAGCAGTGGACCGGGAGAGAGGAGTGTGGAAGGCCTCGCATGAGTTTCTTTGGGGGTTGCTGCACCCACTCCACTCAGACAACTCAGCCCCGGCCACCAGGAGGTGGGGCTTCTGGGAAAGAACAATACCAACCAGAGCCCTCGGGCCGCTGGCTGCAGGCGGGTAGCAAGCTGACTTGGGACGCAGAGGTTGTTAGTGGCTCAGGCTCCCCCACAGCAGAGTTCAGCAACCACTGACGAGACGAGCACGGGACTGACCCCAGCCCTCCTCCCACCCAGCCCCGAGAGGTTCTACCTACCTGGCATGATGACATCAGGAAATCCCAATTTCCTTGTAATTGCCAATCCCCTGTTAAATATCATGGGGTTTTCTCTCCGTATCTGTTCCATGTCTCCGCGAAGAAGCTGAAGAGAAATGATAAGGCCTGCAAAACAAAGGCAGTTTCTCCCTCAGACCACGTCTCTCCTGTCCTGTGGAGCTGGGAAAGCAGGGCCACACTGTTTCCAGAGGAAAACGTGCAAAGTTCAGCATTTTTCTTGAGAAAAATCTTGATGCAGAAAATGTTATTATTCTGAAGGGACATTCCAGAAAGCTAAAGGAAGTTAAGTCAGGATGACCTCAATGACCCAGAGAACTCGTCTATTAAACACAGACGGGGCTCCCGGAGACTCAGCATTCAGCCCAGGGCCAGGTGGGTCCTACTGGGTATTGAAGGGGAGGGTTGACACATGAACTGTACATGTAGGGACCCAGAGAAGCCAACGGAAACAACAGTAGCCTAGGACAGTGTGACCAGAGAAGACCTTGTGTCAGGGTGTCCCACCAGCTGGAAACGAACACACTAAGAGATGCTGGGTTTATGCTAGGAGAATGCCCAAGTGTCGGAAGCAGTGTGCCCGTTTAACCTGGCACCGTCTTGTAAAGTGAGCAGCAGAGCAGACACCACATGGCTCCGACAGGGAACCCCCGCAGTGCAAGGAAAAGAAGGGGTGTTGCTGTGAGGCTAGGTCAGCCATGTCTCAGACTCTGAGTTTCAGACCCTCCAGATGATCCCAAGGCCTTTCTTCAGAACTTGGGAGAATCTGTAATGTCCCCTCAGGCAAGCTGCCTTCTGGCTCATTACCTGTACCTCTGGAGTTTTGCACAAAGTAAGAATCTTCTGGAAACTGCCCCTACCCTGCCCCCCAAGGGGTCCCTCGCAACCATTGGCTGGAAGGCTGTGGGTCAAGCCTAGATGGGAGTTCGGAAGTGCCTCCAAGCCTGAAGGAGGGGAGCTGTGGACGGATACATTGAGGTGCTGGTCAGCAGTAAGCAACCTCAGGGAGGTAGAGACTTGGGAGTTGAACAGGAAATGAACATCTAAAATGGGTGGGGGGAGCTGTGCTGATAATTAGGACAATCAGGAGAGCTATGGCTAGGAGGAGACAGTGACAAGCGAAGCTGCAGAATAAGAGTGGGAGGGGGAGAGGATGGAGAAGTGGAGAAAGAGGTCAGGCACTAGGAATATGTATGCTCACAGCGGGGCCAGGGGAGGAAACGCAGCCCAGCCAGAACCTCAAGATGACCTCACTGCTTCAGTGAATAAGCTCACGCTCCCCAAGAAACCTGCGATGATGTCCATGATGGGCCAGTGTCATTAACACCAGATCCAGTGCCTAAGCGCAGACCCATGGCATTCACTTCGCATTCTGGGCAGATAATCCGTGTGGGGTTCTGAACACCCTACAGTAATGTTTTACAGCCTGACCGCTTGGTAGACTCAAGTACAATTAGTTTCTGAACCTGAAAGGCTGGGGCCCAGAATCCAGACCACAGCGATCTCTGTAGAGAGCAGCCTGGAGGTACTCACCCTCCCCTCGCCCCGCCCCCCCTCGTTCATCTACCTGCAGTGTCTTTACACAGCCATCCACGCTTTCTCTGGGTGAACAGGAACCCACACCCCTAGGGACAGCCTACTGGAGTTAGGTCTGTGGCTACATACATGAGAGGCCAACGATGGACAGGAGGAGCCACGTACATTAAAGCCGCACCAAGAGAGTTCCTGCCAAATGATACATTAACTCTCAGCTCGCAAGTCAACGTAGCAATTCCTTCTGCATTTTCATATGATTTGACTTGAAGGGAAAGCACTTACAACTTCTTAAACAAAAAGGACATTTAACAAAGATGGGTGACAGTTACAGCAAAGTCAATTTTTTATACGGAAGTCTCTTTAAATAAAGCGACTATCAGAGACCTGAACTACTCCCCTCGCGCGACCTGTGGGATTCCCTGACATGAAGACCCCAGAGCCCAGCGTGGAAGACCCAGCTCAGAAGCTGGTAAGACAGCGGAAAGGCCAGTGGCCTGGAGTTTAGAAACCTGGGCTTTCTTGTTCAGCCACGAAGTCATTTCACTGAGCGTCAGTTTCCTCATTTACTTAATGAAAGAGATGAAAAAGGTAATTTCCGAATCTCAGCCAGCTTCCAGTCAGGCCTTGCCAAGAATCAGTCAGACACACAATTCAACAAGCAGCAGCTCGTCTTTCCTTCTGGCTTCCCCACAAAACATGCAGCCCTCCTCTCACAATGGCCTCCTAGCTGAGGCGCCCTGAAGGCTGCGGCGCCCCCAGCACCAGAGGAACAAGAGCTTTTCTTTTTCTTTTTCTAAAAAATATGTTTTTATTGATTTTAGAGTGAGAGGGAGAGGGAGGAGGGCTAGAAACATTGATGCGAGAGAAACATTAATCGGCTGCCTCCTACACGCCCCCTACTGGGGATCAAGCCCACAACCCAGGCATACGCCCTGATCAGGCATCCAGCCGATGACCTCTTGGTGCATGGGACGATGCCCAACTGAGCCACACGGGCTGGGCGAACATGCTTTGTCTGTGAGTTCTGGACAAAAACCATAGATACTGAAGATGGCACAGTCCCTGCCCATTCTGGGGAGTAAGACAAAAGTCAGCACCATAACCCAGTGAGGGGATGGCATTGGTAAAACTGCTCTTTCAGCTGCTGCTTTTCATGTATTATTACCACCATCTCACACTTAAAATGTTCTCCATGTTTTAATCATATCATGTCTCAAGAAATTACAGTCAAGGGCAGCTCTTTCTAAATCAAATAAGTAAATAAAACAAGGAACATGACAAGTATTGATGTGAAGGGTAGTTTTCCAAATGCTAGTAAGTTCTGATACTTGAAAAACAAGATTTTACTGCCTCTTGCTTCCGCCCGGTTGTAGGAGAGGAATATGGACTTACCACACGGGCACGGAGCTCTTTGGCATCCAGGCACACCCATTAGGGAAATAGTCACTTACAACAACAGTGAGAGGCCCTGAGGGCCCCATGCTACAGAGCTTTAGGGAATCAGGGACTCCCAGCTGAGGTCTCAACCCTGCAGTCTCTGGTGTGGGGCAGCTCTGAGGGCTCTCCGAGTGGACTATCTGCTGACCCTGACAGAGGGGGTCAAGTTCTCAACAGCTCTGGGAACTGCCAGGCCTTCCAGTGGCTTTCCACTGCCATTTAGGGCCAACTTTTTATTTACAAGTCTATGAAAGTTAAAACAAATAAGGTTATGTAAGAGATTATGAAATAACTTAGAGGTTAAAAACTGTCAAGAGAAACATGGTTGCATGTAAATTTGAGAGCTGCCTTTAGGGTATATAAAAGTTCATAGGCTTTTAAGTAGTGCTTCTAATTTAATCAAGCAATTAATGTTCGATTTATAAAACAACCATAATAATGTGCAGAACTGCACCAAAATTTAGACAGAAACTATAGAAACAGGGCTTTAAAAGAAAAGGAGGAAAAAGGAGAAGGAGAAGTTGAACTAAGATGAAACCTCCTTGTAATAAAGATGTTATTCCAGCGGCCGCCACCGTTTTGGACCTCACGAACTGCCAGTGGCCGCGGCCCACCGGTGGGCAACCGCTGGAATCTGTTCTAGCTCCAGGATGACTGACGGTGGCAGAACAGTCACTGGTTCTCACTGTGTCAGGCCTTGTTGGTGAGGCTCACACTAAACAGGAAGAGGAGAAGTGATAATAACCTCTGTCTCTTTTGGGGCGGAGTGTCATCTCTGCTCAGGAAAAGACAGACTCCACATGTGACAGACCCTGCAACACTTCTGCTCACTCGGGATTGACAAGGCAACTCACGTTCCTTATCAGAGCACACGGAATCGGTCAGAGAAAAAACTGAAAATGTATGTTGTTTGTAATTAAGAAAGGTCTCAAATTATCACAAAAAGAAATAGAGTCCTTGGGGAGGAGAAGAAATGTCTGCAGGGAACTGAACTTTACACGTGGCCGCTGATCAGCACAATCGAGCAGGTGCGAGATTAGCAACTGCAAATACAACACGCGGCTGTATTTGCAGCCAGAGAGGTACGTCACCGTGGCTGGCACTGGGGGCGGAGTACTTGGCGCTGGACTTGCGGATGATGTTCTCGTGGATCTGCGACCACTCCCCCTCGTTGTTGCACCTGGAACAGGAGGACAGGCTTAGAGCTCTCCAGGGTCTCACACACCTGCTGACGCCCCAGCCGGGCGTGTGACACAAAGTGTGAAGGGTACTTCACGCTCACTTTCCAAAGGAAGCAACTGTTTCACTGAGTTAGACAAGGCTCGTTTTCTGCTGAGACACACAGACAATTCACACTTGGGAAATTCTAAAATAAATCCCTATAAATATTGTTCAAGAGGCAAAATACCCTCTTTTCTGAAGTAGCACTTTCCCACCTGTCAAGTTTTCTTCTTTTCTAGTTTCTTACACACACACACACACCCCAAAAACAACCAACCAACAAAAGCTGGGCTCAGAGGCAAGTCCCTGCTGGAGGAAACACAGGTCCTCCCGGTGAGCTCTGCTGCTCAGAAACGGACATGCCTGGCGCCGGCTTTACTCTGTCAGCCAGCTGTCATGGTGCCCCAAGAGGAGGCCCTGCTGAGCACAGGGCCACGTGGAGATCTGCCTGTGCTCTCTTTCAGCCAGACCAACACTTTAAAAGCCATCTGGGCGAGTCGTGGGCTTGGCTCCCTGTGAAACCCTCTGCTTCAGGGGAAGGAGGGCTTAGCAGGGAAGGCGGACGCCTACTGATGGGAGAATGGCGCTCTTCCCCGGGGCTTCTGGATTGGGACCAAGGAGCATGAAGGACCAACACTGCACTGCACTCAAGCACGGCAGGTTAGGGTCGTCCCCTCTAAGGGCAGCTCAAGGGCTGCAGCCACACCACCCCTGGTGCAGCAGGAGCAGGGACGAGCAATTCGTCACCCTAACACAGCACGTCAATGAAACACCTGCAATCAGATCAGGGTGAGCCCTTGAAAAGTCCATGTGACACTGGCAGTCCCCACAGTCCTGGCCCCACCTCTGCCCCTGCTGGAGCGGGAGGTAGGGACCCACTGACCCCAGAAAGCAGGACCCAGGGACAAAGGAAAATCCCCAGGGTCTTCCCATGGCTGCTCAGGGGGTGGAGTCCAGCCCAGCCGCTCCCAAGAAGAAGCCCCAGTAAGTATGTCACGTGTACAAAGCAGTGTGAAGCCAACCGCTTCCCAAGTGAAAGGGCTTGTGCAGAGGCCACGCGCGTTAGAGGAGGTTGTCACTAGCTTAGCTGTGCTGCTCAGTCGCTGGTTCTGCGGACAGTCCGTCAGTAGAAATAAGCCTGCAGAGAACTGGCAAGACAAGGTTCTCAGGAGTTCCGGGAGGCTACTTCCTGCTCCCAGGACCCTTCAAACAAAGGGCGGGAGAGTGTTCTTTCAAATGACCGCTATGATGGCAACTCAGCGGGGAGTGCCCAGCAGAGTGCCCAGCGAGAGGCTGGCAGCAGCATGGGCATCCCTCCTGTCCTACGTGCACACAGTCATCTTCCAACCGGTCAACACGTCAGGGAAGTGCCCGCTGGAGGATTCAAAGTGGTCTTTCTGTCAGTCTCTTGTCACTTTCTAGGTCCACAAGATCAGGAGGAATTTAATGGAACTCTGACTTGTTTGTCATAAATAACGCACTGCCCCCCTCCCCCCCTCATTTCAAAAGAGTCTTGAAAATTAACTCCCTCCCTCCCTCCCAAACAGGCCCTCACTGCGCCTTGGCCGTGGAGGCGAGCCAGTGCTTTGCTGACCACATCAGCGGTGACTGTGTATTATTTCGCTCACATGTACCCGTCCCGCCAACACATACAATTCAGATGCCAGGCAATGGACGGCTTGCCCTTTAACTATTGGTGGCCTTCACAGCTCTGCCTTCAGCCCATTCCCTTCTTACCCGACAAGCTTTCCTGGGCAATCCCACCTACGACTATAGTCTCAGCCACCCCAGAAGGTGCCAAACTACAAAGCAGTGTCTGCAGCCCAGACTCATCCCCAAGCTCCTGGCCCACATGGCTCCGAGCGCTTTGGTCCTCTCTCCGCCACCCGTCTGCTCCCAGAGACTCCCTCTCACCGAGTGGAACCCACTGGTTCACCAAGCAGAGCCCCCCCGCTGTCACCAGGCCCGGAGAGTTTGCTGTCTTAAAGTCTGCCACAGCTGACCCCTCCTCTTCGTGCCGTGCTTCAGCCATGACCATCTCTCCTCTGGCCTTTCAGACACCTCCCTTTCCAGAACGCCGAGAGGAGCTCCTCAAACCGCATGAAGCTAAGTGGATGTGGTGTCATCAGCACCTTTTACCCAATCATGAGGATGTTTTGTAAGGAAAAATTATAAATGTAAGCATTTATTACATAATCAAATGAGTTGTGATTATAATCAGGCACGATTATGTCATCCAATCAAATTAATACTTAAAGTATGATTACTGATGTTGATAATTCACCCTCAATCTTAAGATGCATGAGAAATGGTGTTGGCTTTAGTTCCTTGACACCACTTCTCCTTTTATGTTCTAGGCTCCAGGTTCAACAAGCCCTGTGCCTGCTTGTGACCCTTGTCCCTGTGGCCCAGAGGGAAAGTATGACATCTCTATCAGACTAAACAACACAGCGTGGTTACATTGGTGATTTTTAAGATTTCTGGCTCATTAGACGTGACCTAGTTTTAATGCCTTTGTTTCTTGTTGAAATTTTCTTAAAAGGATGTGGTGCCTTCCCATACACACATTATCTTAAACAACAGCCATAAAGCCGGAGCAGTGACCATGGCAAGAAACATTAAATCTCTGTTTGAGGCCGATTCTGAATAAGGAAAGAAATGACGATAATGTCAAAATTGACATATTTTGCCAATTCATTGATTAAAATTCTACAAGAGATTTTTACCCCTGCAAAAGCCTGTCCTAGCCAAGGCTAAAGCACTAATAACTGTAGCCGTCAGCAAACCTTTAAGCTTCAACTCAATCTAGCCAACATGTCCCCTGGAACTCACTTCGTCTGCGGGCTGGCTGCACTGTGCTGACGTGGGATTAAAAGATGAACCCTCAGTCTGCACGTCAGCACAACTACACAGATGTGCAGCTGGGGGTCTGTTTGAAAGTCTCCTAATATTTTCAAGTGGAAAAATTATCCTCCATTTTAACTCTCGGTGTTTCAAACACTTCAAACTACCTTCTCCATAAACACACTGCTCTTTAGTTTTCCAGAGGTGATCCAGCAGACACAGCTCATAAGCAGCAGCTAAGCAAAAGGTACATCGGAACCCACCTCCTTGCAGAGTGACAGGCTGGCGCTGAGAGCTGCTGTTTTAGAAGCGATTAGCTCAATTACGCCTGACAGCATGATTTCCAGAGGGATGCGTGCAGGCCCCTGTGCACGACGCGAATCGGCACTGAAGCAAGAACAGCTCATACACGCACGGAGATGCCAGCCTCCCGTGCTGCCTGGACACCTCTTGGACAGAGTGAAGCAAGATGGTGATGATGTAAGTTTGGATTTCGGTTTTAGTCCTTTTCGAAATGAAAAGGGCGTGTCAAGAAGCAGGTCCCACCCGGCCGGCATGGCTCAGTGGCTGAATGTCGACCTGGTCACAGTTTGAATCCCAGTCAGGGCACAGGCAGGGTTTTGGGCTCAATCCCGTGTGGAGTGTGCAGGAGGCAGCCGATCCATGATTTTCTCTCTCATCACTGATGTTTCTCTCTCTCCCCTTCTCACTTCCTCTCTGAAATCAATAAAAATATATTAAAAAAAAAAAAAGCGGATCCCAGCCCCCATCAATGCAGAGATTTGGTATATGAGAAAGTGTGTGATGGGCACATAAAAGGAAGAGAAAAACCCACCAATATTCCCTTTGTAAGTTACTATTCCAAAAGAAGAGCCTCATCTCATCAAATCATGCCTCTGAATGGAGCTAAGGGAAACAGGTAGTAAGGAGGTATGGCTCTTTGTTTAATTACTAAAATGTGGCTCATTATATAAAGGCCAAAATTAAGTATAATTGTGGATTAAGTTCACTGCATGCCTAAACCAGACAGAACAGACTGAACAGAAAAATATCCATACAATGTTACGGTGAAGCTATATTAACATGGTGATTGACAGATTTAACTTAGAAAAACAATATTTGGTTAAAACCAAAACAGGACAGATTTTTAAAAATATCTTCCCAGCGTTACACTTGTTTTGAAAACTCACCATGTTCTCAGCATTGCTATTCATGCCTAAGTCTTAGCAGCAGAGCCAGATAATGTGCCTGGAATCTGTCTCATTAGTTTCCCCTTTTTGTTAACAAGAGTCAGGATGTGACGCACGGCTTCTGCAGGACAGGTCCCTGGGCTGGCGAACACGAAAATAACACATGCCTTGCTGGGCGGGGCTTACAGACCCGGGGCGGTGGGAGTGGAGGGTGAAACGCCAGCTCCTCAGAAAACCTAGCTTTTCTTCAAAGCAGGGCAACCTGACTCATGCACTTTCTTTGAAACCAGCTCAGTTACCATAGCTGTGGGCAAGCATTAGACACAGAAGACTGTCTTATTTCCAAAACACATGAAAAACTGCATGACTAGCCTTTCTGTAAATATATAATACTAGAGGCCCAGTGCACAGATTCGTGCACCAGTGGGGTCCCTCCGCCTGACCCGGGACCGCTCAGGGGATGTCCGACTGCCAGTGTAGGCTTGATCCCCGCTGGGCCTAAACCGGAGTCTGACATCCCCCGAGGGATGTGGCAGTGTGTGAAGCAGCAGGCAGCTGAGGAGCAGCCTGAGCCAGCCTGCTGTGCCGGCCACCGCTGCTAGGAAGCATTGCTGTGGCGGCAGGACAGGCTCCCACCACCGCTGCTGCACTCGCCAGCCGTGAGCCCGGCTTCTGGCTGAGTGGCGCTCCCACTGTAGGAGTGCACTGATCACCAGGGGGTAGCTCCTGCATCGAGTGTCTGCCCCTGATGGTCAGTGCATGTCATAGCGACTGGTCAACCGGTCGTAACAGTCACTTAAGCTTTTATATATATATAGATGGCTGGTTAATCCAGGCTAGAAGAGAAAATGTGGACCACCAGACTTTTACGTTAGGAAAAAAGGCTCCCAATTCAGCTGCTTCAGAATCACCTGGAAGCTTATTAGAAATACAGCTGCTGGAGCCCCATCCCAAACCTTAGATCAAAAACCCCGACTTTCGAAGGGCTCTCTACCCTCCGTGCCCTGATGAGTCCATGCCCCACGAAGCCTAAGAACTGCTGCCCTGAGGACAGGGCTGGGATGTCTTCTGTTACAAACCATTCCTATTTCTGATATGCAGTACTCACGTGTAAACCTTAAGAACAAAATCCTTTTCTTCCTTTAATTCTGTGAGCGACTGTAGGACGTCCAGGATGCTTAGGACCGCACAGCCGTATGGTCGCCGGTAGTGCAGGTGAGCAGGGCCCTTCTTCGAGTCATTCAGGAGCATCCGGCCTAGCACACAGCACAAAACCCAGTCAGACCGAGAACTCCATCCGCTCTCCAGCCCGACTGCCAGCCAGGGATGCCAGAACTGCAGGCCTCTTAGAGATGCTCCAAGTTGGAAGACTAACTTAGGACTAAATAAGGACGCTGGGATATTTATGTGAGGGATGCTAACCAGGCCTGTGGCCAGGCTCTTCCCCTGCATCACATTCAACCAATCATTCTTATTACCCACGTCAACACCAAAGGGCCATTAATTAATCACGTGACAATAAAAACCAAGGTTTTATAAACTTCTTGGAAAAACCAATGTGCTGATTGATTAAAATTTAGGCCTATTAAGGAAGTTCCATATTTTAGCTGCCAAAGCCACTCCTGAACCAGCACAGGAGCAAGACTGCCTCACAAAGTGGATAAAACCTTGCTTTTCCTACTCACGGGGGCTGAGCCTACAGTGACAAGAGGACTTGCAAATGTAATACCAGATCCTCAACAAATGTTTTATCAAGTGAAGCAAAACAAAACCACAGCAAAATGGCTGTTTTGTTGGCAAAGGATTCAAACACATCCTCTGACAAAATTTGCCAAAATCCAACCTATGAAGGAAGACTTGGTTAGTCAGAGCCTCCCAGATTATGTCATGTATTTGAAATAAGGAGAGGCAAACCAGCCACAGAACAGCAGCAAACATCACTTTTTTCATCTTGTGTGGCACAGAAGTGAGATGCCACCCACCTGCTGCAACAAGAACAGTGACTCTAACTCGGTGGGAAATCGCGCAGATCTATACTTTGGATACAAAACACAGCAAAGGCCATTCACCCCCTGTGAAGTGGGCAACCTTGGCCAGCTGCTTTAAGACCTCTGTGGCAGAGGACTGACAGAGGCAGGCCACTCTGGTAAAGAGAATGCCTACAAGCAGACCACTCGAAATAAAGGGTTTGGGTCCAAAACTAATAGGGAACAAAAACTTGTAAGTGAGCCCTGGCCAGTGTGCTCAGAGGGTTGAGCATCGTCCCAAGCACCGAGAGGCCACCAGTCAGGGCCATGCCCGGGTTGAGGCTCGATCCCCAGTAGGGGGCATGCGGGAGGCAGCCGATCAATGTTTCTCTCTCTTTCTCTCCCTTCCTCTCTTGAAAAAAAATCAATGAAAACATACTTTAAAAAGATTTTACGTGAAAAAATATATTCATTTATAGCAAACTCAGCTTCCATAGCAGCTGAACTGAAGACAGAGTTCCAATGCAGGCCAAGGCCTGGCATCGCAGGGAAGAGGCGGGGAGGAGACAAAGCTCAGGCAGATACGTATCCCAAGCTGGCCTGGTCTTAGTCACGGGAATGAGTAAGGTGAACAGTACCTATTCGTATCACATGGGCAACTATATACAAATCTCTCTTCATATCTTTGCTGCTCAGATCCTAAGAAAAGAGAAAAAAAAGTTAATTAAGGCAATGAATACACAGAAATAATTAAAATTTCATTTTGAACCTCATAAGGTTTACTTTTATGACTTTTAGCGCATGTGATTGGTGGGGAAGGGAGGTTCAAGCTCATCACAGTTTAGTGTTTATACGATTCCTGCATCAATGAATGGCTCATATCTTATAAGCCTTTGGAAGTTTATTTTATTGGTAAGACTTTTCCAGCTCTTACGTCAAACACCTAACAAATATCTACAAGAGTTCTCACATTAGAAATCTTCATGATGTTGCCTAATATTACATAACAACTTTGTAATAAAAGAAATGTTCAATGCACAAAAGTGGGAAAACACCAAAAAAGCTCACTAATGACTGAAATTCTAAAAGTTTATTCTTTACTACTTTATACTTTACATTTATTCCACTGTCCACACATTATTATTATTGCACACTAGGTATGCGCCCTTGAAAAAGATTCATTTGACCTTAGTGAAATCTCAATAAATTAATATCCACTTCTAAATTTAGATATATATCATTTGTACTTGAGTATAAAGCTGAAAATAATTTCATCTGAAAAAATTTAAGGGCTTCATTAAGTAAACAAGTCTGATTCAGAATCAGAAACTTTAAGAACTAGAGGTATGAAAATAATTTCATACATTATTTATGTTTAGAACACATTTGGAAATAAAATACTTAGGAATAGGCATTTATACTTTATTTAACACACTGCACTTGAAGTAACGTTTCAGACTTTCACCAGGTCATCAACTCACTGCTCCCTCCCAGCCACTGTGGAGAATGAATGATTGATGGAGTGACCTCCGTCCTTATGAGACAGGCTCCCCTGATTTCCCTTTTCCTTCCAGGAAAAGGTCCCTTAGTTCCATTTCCTTCCAACCTTTCACCTTGTGATTGGTCCCAGATGCTTGTCTCCAATAAAGTGGGAAAAGGGACAGCCAAGTGGCAGCCATCATTTTGAATGAGCTTTGCGATCCAGAGCCCCCATGTTTGCTTTATTTTTATTTATTTTTAAATGAGGACTGCATTAACAGTTTTTAAATTAAATGTATTAAAGTGACATTGGTTAATAGGGTCATACAGGCTTCAGATACACATCTCTCTGATACATGAGCTTATGCTGCATGTGTGCCTACCACCCAGTCATGTCATCTCCAGCCCCATCTACTTGGCCCCCTTTACCCTTCACCACCCCCACCCCTTTCCTCTGGTAACCACCAGACTAGTGAGTTTCACCCTGTTGCCAGGTCAGGGCTAGGGTGAGGCAAAGAAGGCATCTAAGGTTCAAAACTGAAGGGGGTGTCATTCTCAGAACCCTCTGCTGTGCTCGCCTGGCCCCAGTCCCAGCTCTGCCCCGAACAGTGGTTCTGAGCACAGGAAAGGAGAGGAGACGTGAAGAAGCATGTGTAATGGCGAAACTGAGCTTCCTGATTCTACACGGTCAGAACGCTGTAATGTTTTGCCAAATTCTTGAGGGGATAATAAAATACGCTGGCAATGACAGAGGCTAAAACACAGTTTAACATAAATTGGTATTTCTGGAATCACAAATATATATTTTTACATGAAAGTTTTATTTGTCTTTTGGTATTAAAATGGGTGTTTCAGGCTCCATTTCACTAATTCCTTTAATTTACAAATGGATTTAAAATTATACCCTCAAATAGTACTGTATTTTGACACTTATTAAGATGGCAACTAAATAACAAATAAAAACTGAAAAACAGATGACCATTTTCATGTGTTTCGGGGGACTGAAACATGACTATTACCGAAGGATATAGAAATAGCTGACACATTTCAAAGTGAAACGGTTCCTTCTGTATAGCCCGGATTATGTTAGTCTGAACTATCAAATGACACTATAATTATCAACCCCATACACCCAGAGAGCTAACCAGATGGGCTGTACACACAGGACCAGGGGCCTCTCCCTCGGCTCTGACTGAATAAAAGGAAGAAGCCTGAAATATAATGACCAGTATTTTCCAAGTAGGGGCTCTTTCTGACCATGTTGTGCATGACGCCCAGAACTCTTTATGGTATTCATTTGAGGTCAATCAATATACGATAATAATCGGCGCAAGGAAATATTTTGAGTAAAATTATTACTCGTGAGTCCCACATAATTTCAATGCCAAATTTTAATATAAAAGCTATCTTATTAAAAGTAAATGCATAGGTGGGGGGGAGGGTGGATAAGGACACATATGTAATACCTTAGTCAATAAAAAAAATCCAAAAAGTAAATAAATAAAAGTAAATGCATAGTTAAACATAGTTACCACAGAGTTATTAAATGTAAAACTCTTCAAAACCAAATACCAAGTGTGGCTATCCATATTAAATACTCACAACCACCGTTCAGCTGATGAGCAAGGTTTGAATTTAGATTTAGTCACTGGACCATACCCTCCAACCCACCTCATTAGAAGCTACTGCCCAGTTAGGGCAGTGACTCGGGGCTCCGTGTCTTCGATTCAGCTGCTAACATTCTATTTTAAATATGGAAAGCCAACTCATTTCCCTGCGCCTTTTTCAGTAGAGATCATGGGATTTACAAATACAAAACAAAGCCAATTTGTTCATACTTATGCTGCAGAAAAGGAGGCAACGCTTTAATATGCAATATCATTATACCCATAATCAAATTCATTCTTAATTCCACTACCTAAAATTCTACTTTGAAATGTGCAAGAGTATAAGTGAATGTAGCAAATATAATGCCAACTAATGCAGGGGAAGCAGGACAAGTTCACTGTCTGAGTTGGTCACTCGAATATAACAAAAAGCAAGCACACATTCCTGTAGTTATGTAAGGATCATTATTACCGTCCTAGTATCTGTCGGGCGCTACGTGTGAGGCGCTGGGTGAAAAGTAAGGAGTAAATACACAGACAGGCCCCACTCGCTCATACGCACAGCCACAGCTTACCACGAAAGCCAGCAAACCCTCCTGTGTTAGACACCCACACAAACACGAAACACCTCCTTCTTGGATAAAATTGTTCCTGCACAGGAAGCTCTGAAATCTAACAAAGTCAGAAAAAGACAGGTTTTCCGGCGAATAGGGCTGTGCCGTGGATAACGTGACTGTCTGTAAGGTGGCTCTGACGGCTGCTTGAGTAACCCTGCTACCCACTCAGTGTGCACGGTCCCCTTTTCCCTGACGCTAAGGCAAGTTAACAGGTTGGCATCAACCACAGCTGTGGTTGCACTTCCTTGTATTTACTCGGAAACTCTGTAGCACATCTGCCAATCTGGAAAACTCCTTTAGCCTACAGGAGGAACTCAAGAAGACAGTCCCACCAAAATTATTATTCCATATAGCTTAAAGTAAAACACAAAACTCCTGGCTATGACAGCCTTGTTCAAAAATCTTGTGCTTCGAAAAAAAGTCCTCAAATCACTTTTCGGATCTTTTAAAAGAAACGCAGGGCTGTCCTTCAAAGGGAATACAGAAATGCCATTTTTAGCAGCAGCCCAGCCTCCGCACCTTGGCGGCCTGAACACACATCCTGAGAGCCACGCGCATCCCTGATTTGTCAAGTTGGAGCTACAGCTCAGGCTTCTGGGCCCATATAGATCATTAAAATGCTGTGAAATGAAAATTTTGATTCACTGTAATTATATTCAAATATCATAATTAAGTTAATTTCTTCAAGAGATAAGAACTGCACTCATCGTATTCAAGGACAGCACATGCACACAGCTCTGCTCCCACAATGCCAAAGAGCAAGGATTCAACACTTTCTTTTGCTGCTTTAACAAAACAAAACAAAAGATCAGAAAACCAGGATCTAGAAAAACCTCCTAAAACGATGGAGACCGACTCTAGACAGAGGGGCATCTCAGCTCTTCCAGCTGTTCCAGCCAGCCTTCCCAGACAAAATGATCTCAACTCCCCTAACCGTCTTCATGGGTCAGCATCTCCTGCCCTCTCTCCCTGCAGTATCGCCTAAGGTTTGTACGCTGAGCTCCAAGATGGACGAAACATCACTTAGCTGAGCCATGTATGTCAGAGGCGCACTGCGAACTGTGAGACAGCTGGGCACTGCCCACCGAGCACGCCCCGCAGGCAGACCCTGCGCCAGTGGGTTCTGATGTATAGGTATCACTGGAGCAGGTCACAGAACCCACAGGAGTCGCAGCTGGTTTAGAATCCCGACAGCCTTGTTTTCTTCTTCAGCACACAATGAATCAAATGGGCCGGTTCATTTGTTAAGTGGGTGAGAAGCCTTGGTAGCTCAGAACCAACCTGAACAGTACACAGGCAGTGCGGCTGTGAGGCCCAGCGCTGTCCCCCAAGCAGGTGCCCGAGCCTCCGAGCGATGAGTCCGCGGGCTCAGAGACCGCGAGGCACAGCATGGCTGTGTGGAAAGCCCCTCTGTTTGTATCTGAAAGTGGACTATCCAGTTTCCCTCTCTTTATATGCACGCACTGAAAACACAACAAAGCTATAAATCTGACGGATGTCTTTTGAGAAACTATACTTACACATGAGAGAAATTCCCAGTGGCCTTGAATAAGAATAGTAAGAAAGACTGTTCTCAGATTTTAAGTGTCTATTATATTAAATAGCTTATAAAATCTACATCAGTAAAGGCACTTGATTATAGTTTTTTAATAAAAAATTCAATTAAAAACTAATTTCAGTTTTCTTTAAATATTTCATTAAAACCTGATAGAAACATAAATGAAGTCCTATTCTCCACAGTGTGTGGGGAAATAGAATAAATGCTTGTTTCTAGGGTGACAACATCCACATAG